TTACGCATAATTCCTAAAGTGTCTAGTTATTATGCATAATAACGTATTTCGGATATTAGCTGTAACATATACATATAGTTTTTTTCAACGACACGATACTCCAAAATGTTTCACGTGGTAATTTCTTATAGAGAAATATAAACTTCTTAATTATGCTCCGCCTATCGTCTCATGACAAAAAAAAATAATTACAACTGAGATGGGGGCGGGTGGGTGGGGCTTATTCGTTCTCTTTCTTTTTGTTAGATTCATGCTCTTCTTTCAACAACGAAATACTTCAAATATCAAATGCTGAATTTGAGTTTAGAATTATATCCACCTGCCTCATCAGAGTTGCCAGATCTACCGATTTACACTACGAATTTACAGAAAAGTGAAATTGTAAATATCCAGCGTTTTATTTTCGTATAGGTTTTTTCTTCTTTCGATATCTCCCTTTGGTTTTGAGATTAGGAATATTATTTCCCGACTTTTTGTCCATTTTTTAGTTTATTTTACTTTTTAACGTAATTTCTGGTATAGAAATATGGGATTTGCAATTAAGGTCCACCTCCTGGTCCCACAATGAATAAAAGATCATCACAATTTGTATCCCCGATCTCAATTGTGATAAATTTTTTATTCGTTGTAAGTATTTTATTGTTAAAGAGGAGTGTGTATTTTACGAAAAGAAAGTCAAAGGATAAGCCCCACGTATCCGCCCTCATCTCAATTGTGATTAATTTTTCTTATTCGTCGTTAGACGAGAGGCGGAGCTTATATTTCTTTTTAATAAATTACTACGTGAAGCATGTTTTAACTATCGTATCGTTGAAAGAAAACTATATTTAATTAGAACAGGAAGAAAAGAATGTGCCCCACCCACCCGCCCCGATCTAGTTGTAATACATTTTTTATTCGTTGTGGATCTAAGGGGCGGAATTTAGTTGCAAATTTTACTTTTGGGAGAAAAAGAATATTCTTTCACTACTTCTTGGCAAAATAGTCCATTTTCAACGACATCATAATACCACAACCATGTTTATCTTGGTAATTTCTTGTACAGCAATATAGACTTTGCAATTAAGCTCCGCCCCCTGGTCTCACATCGAATAAAAAATTTATCACAATTGAGATCGGGACGGGTGGGTGGGGCATAATCTTCGGCTATTTTTTTCTTAATATATACATAGTTTTTTTTCAACGAAATAATACTTTTAAAAAGTGTTTCACGTGGTAATTTCTTGTAAAGAAATATAAAGTTCTTCTTTCTACAACGAAATACCTAAAATATCAAATGCTGAATTTGGGGTTAGAATTATATCGAGCTGACACAGCTCGATATAATTCTGTGATGACACATCAGAGTTGTCAGATCTATCGATTTATCTTATAAATTTACAAAAGAGTGAAAATGTGACTACTGAACGTTTTATTTTCCTATAGTTTTTTTCTTCTTTCGATATCTCCTTTTAGTTTTGAGAAAATAAATATTTATCTTTCCCTACTTTTTGAGTATGTTTCTTACGAAAAGAGAGTCAAAGGATAAGCCCCACCCACTCACCCTCATCTCAATAGTGATTTTTTTTTCATTCGTCGTCAGACGAGAGGTGGAGCTTAATTGAAAAGTTTATATATCTCTTTAAGAAATTACCACGTGAAGCATGTTTTAAGTATCGTATTGTTGTAAGAAAACTATATACATTTAGAAAAGGAAGCCGAAAAATGTGCCCCACCCACCCGTCCCGATCCAATTGTAATAAATTTTTTTTTCGTTGTGGGTCTAAGAGGCGGAACTTAATTGCAAATTTTACTTTCGGGACAAAAACAATATTCTTTAGCGACTTTTTCGCAAAATAGTCTATTCTCTTGGTAATTTCTTGTGCAGCAATATAGACTTTGCAATTAAGCTCCGCCCCCTGGTCTTACAACGAATAAAAAATTTATCACAATTGAGATCGGGGCGGGTGGGTGGAGCATAATCCTCGGCTCCTTTTTCATAATATACATATAGTTTTTTTTTAAGACACGACACGACACTTAAAAAATTTTCACGTGGTAATTTCTTCTAGAGAAATATAAACTTTAGTATATCCTCTCATGACAAATAAAAGAATAATTACAACTGAAATGGGGACGGGTGGGCGGAGCTTATCCTTTCACTTTCTTTTCGTAAAATTCATGTTCTCTTTCAACAACGAAATCAAATGTTGAATTTGAGGTTAGAACTATATCCTGCTGCGTTATCAGAGTTGCCACATCTACTGATTTACGCTATAAATTTAATAAAACATGAAATGGTGAATAGTAAACGTTTTATTTTCGAAGTTTTTTCTTCTTTCGATATCTCCTTTTTGTTGTCAAAGAATAAGAATATTCTTTCTCTACTTTTTGTCCTTTTTTCACTTTGTTTTACTTTTTTTATGTAATTTCTTGTACAGAAATATGAAATTTTCAATTAAGGTCCGCCCCCTGGTTTCACAACGAATAAAAGATCATCACAGTTTGAATCCCCGATCTCAATTGTGATAAAATTTTTATTCGTCGTGGTTATTTTTTTTATACGTCGCCAGACGAAAGGCGGAGCTAATTGAAAAATTTATATTTCTCCATAAGAAATTACCACGTGAAACATATTTTAAGTATCATTTTGTTAAAAGAAAACTATATACCTATACGTAGAAAAAGAAGCCGATAATATGTGACACATAAATATACATAACATTAAAATTAATTCACTGTTTGTTTGATATACGGCCGTCGCAAACATAACTCATGCGATTATATAAATTTTGTTTATTTTGAGTTTGCCATTATTTTGAACACAAAACAAAGTTGATTATTGCGCAACAAGTAGTAAGTTTACAAATTGGACCATCATTCACAAAGTAATTGTGTTTATCACTGGTGGTTGGCGCTTTGTCCGGCGTGGTGTTTGTTGTCACTTCAAGACAAACAAACATCAACAGATAGCCCCTTAAGAAGATAGCCCTGTCATATGTCAAACTTCTTGCACAAGTAACTTAAACAATCTTACGTTGGCGTGTTAATTTAAATATTAAGAGTGTTAGCGCTGGAAGCTATAAAATTCTAAATTATAAGGTGCGGTCAACAAAATTCGCTCTTTAACAAACGTCGGATGATCACCTGTCTTTCTGATCCCCTGGGGTACGTACGTAGGAGGCGATGAGGAAGACAGCTTGATCCTTCAGTGTCAGGAGGAAGACGATTTTACAGTATCTGTGCTTTTATTTATTAATATTAACAACTTTTCTTAAGAAATCTTTTTCGTGTCACGTTAGACGTACGGAGGTATAAATGAACAAAAAAAATTGGACGTGGGTGAACCTACCAAAATATACGGGGGAAATAATTTCCTTTTTATAAGATTGAAAAAAATCCAGAGCCTGTGTGAAAGACTAACTAAAAAATAACGTCTTATATTAGGAAAAATGAATTTGCTTTTTCATTTTTTATCAATGATTATTATCCAAAAAGTAATGTGAAAGGACACTTGTATTCGTGCTGCTCCTTTAACGTTATATTTATGAAGCAATATTTTAAAATGGATACATAGTCCAAAAACATTGAATTTAAGGTGAGTTTTGACCATCACTACAATGACAGATTGGTAACATTAATTTGAATATATTCGAGTTGGGTTTCCGTAGAATCGGAAACACGAATGAAGTGAAGACAAGCAGTGGTTTAAAATAAAATTAAACACAAGTACTGCTGATACATTTTACGATATCGGTGAATATAATTTAAATATTTCTTTTACTTTAAATTACATTACTGGAGAAACTATTTAAACAAACATTGTATTCGTAAACTATTTATAAGATAATACGATTAAAATAATATACCTACACTAAATCCGCGATTATTTTTCACTAACGAAAATAAGAAAACCATTATATTTTCAAGAGACTAAAGTTGCTGTATACGTTCTCAGTGTAAACGTGACTGTTGGTAGTAAGTCACCAGAAATTTAAACCTTTACAAAAAATTATCAAATAATAACAGTAAAGACTGTGTTATAAATTATGCAGTTAATGAATTTTCATATGTTATTACTAAAATAACAATTTTATATTTTATTCACACATATAGATAATCATGCTGATAATTTCAATGTGTTATTATTATGGCTGTCATACAAGCTTTGTAACAACTATGAATTTCTATTACGTTTCCGCAATTTTACTAAACTACTATTTCTGTTACCAACAAGATTTGTATTTTTAACGGCTCAGTTCTCATTTTACAGAGATTTTACTCGATGAACTTTTTTGTTTTGACTTTTAAAAAATTGGGTGCCCGGGGCGAGCTTTCATATTTTTATTTCAACAAATACAGAGTCGTGACTTCTCCTTTGCACAGACACATATCTGTTGCAACATGATATTGTTTTAATTGAAATTTTGAATGTGCGTTATTGAATTGAACCAGATGAATGTAAAGTGGACAAACAATCAATACCAAAAGTAGTTCGAACAAATTTCTGGAATTTTTAAACCTTAATATATTATCATTTTCAATAAAATTACTAATTATACTGACGGTGATTTCACAAATTCGTATTCATTCGGATATAGAGTTATCTGGTCAAAATTACTACACAAGAGATTCGACGCGAATATTGGAAACATTTTATGTCGAATTCTGTCCTTCAAAAGTTACAGAAAACTCCTGTTACCTTTGCTCTAAACATACTTGAATGCTCCCTAAAGGATCCATCAGCAAGTTTTCGTCAAGTTACCACTAATGGACCTTAAAACCAACTGGCTTTCTCGAACTATTTAGTATTAAAATCTAACTGAACTAAAGCAGATCGGACGCCAAACTTTAGTTTAATTTAATTCTAATGAAAGTAACTGGCGGCACGTAAATAATTCATTAAGTTCAATCAAAAAAGACGGAATTAAATTACGTGCAGTTGCAAAGTGCATTCAGGCATGATATGGCACTTGTAACACAAAGGATTGTTGAAGATTATTACGCTAACGACTGCTCACCTTCAGCCATTCCCGTGGAAGCTGGCATGCACAGGGCTCTGAAAACCAAATAGAATTTATTATTTTCTGGAAAAGCAAGAAAATTACAGTGCAATTGTAGCGAATGCAACAATGTGTATAACTAGGTAACCTACAATGGGACGCTAATGTAATTTTGTTTATTCGGAATTTTGACGCACGTGTCTGAATTACTGTACAATTTTTTTACCGAAACAATTCAACCTGAAAATGATAAAATTTATTATTTTAATATTCTGAATATTTTCTGGAGATTTTTCTTACGAGAGATTTTATTATAGTGACGAATTTTTAATAAGCTGGACGTTTAGAGTTGACTGTGCATTGCTGAACCACAATGTGTTATCACATTACTTTAGTTTAAAAACAATTTTAAATATCCACCTAAGATTAGAGTGCCTTGACAAATTATGTCGTTTTTAAAAATGTGGACACGATTGACAGTGATGTCAAGTTAGAAAGAAACACAGATAATATGGTATTTCTTTGCTATCCTTGAGAAAACTATAGATATAGATTTTAGTAGAATCCCTAGATATGCCTTAGAAAAGAGTTAGGAAAATCGGAAAAAGGGAAGCTGGTACAAAATTAGGAGAAAAAGGGGTGAAGCTACTGTTTTGGAATGTCGAAGGGTTGCGAAAAAAGGAAAAGGAGTTCTGGGACTACGTGGGAAAATTTTATGTGGAGGGGCTAGTACAGAGATGGGTACAAAGAGAAAACAGGGAGAAATTTGAAGAAACACTACCACAAGAATATGTGTGGGAGTGTCAAGGGGCGACAAAGGAAAAAAAAGGGGGAGCAAGCGGGGGAATAGTAATGCGAAAAGAAATACAAGAATTGGAACAGGAAAGTAATAATAAAAACGCACTAATGAAGAAAGTAATACAGCTGGATAACAATCGATGGGAAATAATAACCGTTTATAGCAAGAAAATGGAAACCAAGATAAACATACAAAAGAAAAAGGAGATGAAAAGACACTTATAGAAGGGTATTTTAACGCAAGACTGGGCGATAAGGGGACGAGAATAATAGATAAAAAAGTGGAGAGAAAAGATTATCAAAAGACAAAGCAAATAACAAAGAAGGGAAAATATTGTGTAAGATAATAGAAGAAATGGGATGGGAAATTTTGAATGGAAACATGGAAGGAGATGAAGAAGAAGAATGGACGTACGTAGGGGCTAGGAGTGAATCAATTATAGACTATGGGATTATCAACGAAGAGGCTTGAGAAGAAATAAAGAGTTTCAAAGTGGAGGAAAGGTTAGAATCAAACGATATGCCACTAGAAATAAAAATCAAAGGAAAAGAGCAAGAGTACGAAAAACAAGAGAGAGGAAACGAAAGAAAAGAAATAGAAAAAAGAATATGAATTGAAGAGGGAATTCAAAGGTACAGAAGTAGACTAGAAAAAAAGAAATTCGAAGTAAAAGAAGATATAGAAGCTATGATAGCAGAACTGATCAAGTTAATTATAGACTCTACGGAAAAAAGAAAGAAATACATATGGCAAGGGAGGAATAATGGATGGAACGGAGAATGTAGTGAGTTGAAGAGAAAAGCAAGGGAAAAATTAAGAAAATGGAAGAATAACAGGGGAAAGAAAAAAGAGTCCTTAAAAGCAAGAGAGAATTATAGGAGAAAACGTGAAGAAACAAAAAGAGAAAAACGAGAAGAAGAAGAGAAGACAATAAAGTCCCTGAAAACAGAAGAAGAAGTATGGAAATATATAAACAAGGAACGGAGAAGGAAGACTGAAGTCAGTAGGAAAATCAAAATACATGAATGGAAAAGACACTATGGAATTATTGGGAGGTTGTGAGGAAAAATGCTGCAAAATAAATAAAGGAATCACAACAACGGAAGAAATGTGGAGAGGTTAGAAAATTAAAGAAGATGAAATAGGAAGACCCATAGAAAGACTGAAAAGAGGAAAGGCACCTGGAGGAGATGAAATCCAGAACGAAGCGTGGATGTTCGGGGCAGAAAGAGTGAAAGAAAGGATATGGGAAGTGGTAGATGGAGTTTAGAAGGGAAAATTGTTCCCGGCAGTGGAGAGAAGGTATATTAACCCCATTATTTAAAAAGGGACAAAAAAGTGATGTGAAGAACTACCGAGGGATCACCTTGCTTAATCCGGCGTACAAGATATTCGCAATGATACTAGATGAGAGGTTATGAAAGGAGATAGAAGCAAGGGGTATATTACCAGACAGTCAGGCAGGGTTTAGGAAAGGTAGAGGAACTATGGACAATGTGTACATCCTGCGGGATTTAGTGGGAAGAGAAATAAGAAATGAGGGTGGACAAATGTACGCATTGTTCATAAATTTCAAAGCAGCGTTTGATAACGTGAATAGAGAAAAACTGTGGGAGTATTTGAGGAGAAAGGGAGTAGATGCGTAGCGTACCTGGTAACGAAAATGGAAGAAGTATATGAAGAAACAGTAAGTAAAGAGAGAGTGATTGGAATAGAGAGCGAGAGTTTTTATACAAATAGAGGAGTGAGACAGGGATGCCCACTCAGTCCCACATTGTTTGCAGCTCATCTAGGAGATATAGGTGAATTGTTCAGGAAAGCACAGACAGGAGGGGTGGTAGTGGGCTAAGAGAAAGTGTAGTCGTTGGCGTACGCAGATGATTTGGTGATTGTGGCAAAGGAAAGAGAAGAAATGAAAACGATGATTAAAACTTTCGAGAGGTACGTACAAAAAAAGGAATTGGAAGTGAATGTAGAAAAACCAAAAATGGTGGTGTTTGGGAAGAAAATAAGAAACGAGAAGGAATAGTGGACATGGAGAGGGAAGTAGATTGAACAGATGAAAGAATTCCAGTACTTAGGATATACATTAAAGAGCAATAACTCAGATAGAGTGCATATTCAAGAAATAGTCCGAAAAGCGAAAAAGTGATAAGAATAGGAGAGAGAAAATTTGGACATGATTATAAGAGAAGAATGATGATGTTTGATAGTCTGATCAACAGTGTACGGAGCTGAGATTTGGGGATGGAGGGAATATGAAGAAATAGAGAGAGTGTAAGAAAAATACTTAAAATGGACATTGGGATCGTAAAGGTATACGCCGGGGTATATAGTGAGAGAAGAAACAAAAAGGGAGAAAATGAAAGTGGAAGCGGGTAAAAGAGCGGTTGGATTTGAAGAGAAGTTCAGTAAGAGAGGTGATTGTAAAATATTAATAATAATAATAATAATAGTAATTTATTGTCAAACAGAACTGTTCCAATGGAGACAATAAAATATAAATAAGAGAATTGATGGCTACATTGGCCTTAAATAAAAATTAAATGTACTCTCCTTACAATTAAAAATATCTAAATTAACTGGTAGATTGTTTATAGCAGTCACAATTTTATTAACAACAGAGCTATTTAAACCAAAATTAGTTTTTCTAAAGGGACAAACAAATATATCGCGGTTTCTGGTATTAACTAAAGGTGCTTTGAAATTTAAAAGCAACAAAAGCTGTGGACAATCTATTTGATTATGCAAGAGTTTAAACACAAATCGTAGCTTAAAGTTCAAAACGCGTTTCGACAGTTCTTCCAATTCCGTTAAATTAAGTCTCTGATCATAATTATATTGCGATTTATTAAGCCCCATCTTGAAAATTAAAAAGTTACACATTTTTCTCTGCACTCTTTCTAGTCTTGTTACGTGGACTTCATAAAAAGGAAACCAAATAATTATGCCGTACTCTAAGATAGGTTTAACTAGTGTAATAAAAAGCTTACGAACAGGAGCAACGCAGTGAAAATCTCTAGTCATCCTTTTTATGAAGCCAGTTACACGATATGAAACCAAACTGAAACTGAAACTGATATGACTTATCAATAATATAATCCATGGGGCTATTAAAGCGTAGTTGCGAATCAAAAACTATTGCTAGATCTTTAATTTCATTCACTCTTTCCAAAAACTTATTATTTATAGCGTAGGCGAATACATAGTTACATAATTTTCTAGAGAATGTTATAATCTTGTACTTGTCATTGTTGAGCATCATATTATTATTAATACACCACTTCGTAGTAACATCCAGGGCTGCTTGAAGCCGATAACAATCTTCAAAAGAACTTATCTTGGAAAAATGTTTAAATCATCAGCAAAAAGCAGTAGATTCGATGTAGAGAAGGATACTACAAGATCATTAATAAATAGTAGGAAGAGTATTGGACCAAGATGACTGCCCTGGGGAACTCCGGAAAGTATTAAGAGAGGATCGGATAGAAATCCCTTTAACGAAATTATTTGAATACCATTGGTAATATAAGAGAAAATCTATGTGTGAAGTTGACCACAAATACCGAGATACCAAAGTTTTTTTCATTAGAAAAGCATGGTTAACAATATCTTCCTTACTAAAATCCAAATAGACCGAGTCAACCTGGCATCCATCTTCAAAAGCATCGATAATAAATTCATTGTATATAGCAAGATTGGTCACTGTACTTCTACTAGGAAGGAATCCATGTTGATACGGTGAAAGGATGTTTCTGTACATTCGAATAAGTTGTTCACTAATAATTGATTCTAAACCCTTACATAAAGCAGAAATTATCGATATAGGTCGGTAGTTAGTAACTTCAGATTTGTCTCCAGTTTTATGCAGGGGAATCACATGAGTTTGTTTCCAAATACTGGGACAAATACCAGTGTCGATAGATTTTCTGTACAGTAAAAAGATAGGCCAGGCTAAGCTACTAGCACACTGATTTAGGAAATAAGGAGGAATTCCATCTGGTCCTGGATTTAAACCAGGTTTTAGAATTAATAGTTTGTTTCGAATCAAGTCAGGATTTAAGTCAATATCATGTAAATTAACGTTATTCAGAAACAAAGAGGGATTTAATTCAGGGTTTTGGTTGTTCACGTTTGAATCATATACAGACTTAAAGTACTTAGCAAACATATTGGCAATCGTTTGGGGATCAGAGGAGTGTAAATCTTGGTAGTGCATATTTTTCGGTACACTAGATTTAGAATTGCGACTTTTGG